GATTCCAGATAATTAGCGTAATGTTACATAATTTATTGTTTTCTATGTTTTTATATTTTCAAGGTTTAAAACAGCTATGGTTAGGTTTTTATCAAAGTATAACAACAGATAATGGTGGTAATGCTTTCAGAAAAAATTGATGACAAAATTTTAAGAAATTTAAAATCAATATTAATCATAATTATGTAATTATTATGTAATAATGTTAAAAAATTTGAAATTAGACGTTGCAAGACACGCTTTAATGCAATAAACTGGTTAAACTTCACCAAATACAAAAAATGAATAAAAGGATGTGATAGCACAATTTTATTTCCACAATTTGTAAACATAATTAATATGAGGATATAATATTATGTAATATATACAGACTTATAGATTTTCAGTATCTGTTTGCCATACCACAGTAATCATTTTATCAGAGTCACTATGCAGAGCTTATGGCCATCCAGATAGGATGGTCTTGCTGAATGCATTCAACAAAAGGTTATGTGTAGCTAGTTTATTTAATACTTTGTTATCCCACCAAACGAAGGGAGGGATATACAAAAGCCACTCGTCTGTCCGTAAGTATGCTTGGGTGATTACATAAATACCGATTGACATATTTGATTCAAATTGTATAGGCTTATGCCTTATGGATGTAGGACCTCTGCTGGAGAAGGAATTATCAATATGACTGCTCATATGGCCACCATTTGTGTAAAAATACAAAAAAATCTCAGTGGTATTGAGAAACCTGTCGATGATGGAAATATTGGTTTTATAAGTGGATGCTGCAATCAATAACTTTGATCAAATTGAAGACACTATTGATTTGAAGGGATCAACACATGCTATGGCCATGGTCTTGTATAAATGATAAGAAAATAACAATGATAACAAGGAGCAGAACAGAAAAAACAAGACTTCTCTGGAAGACACAGATATATGTAACTATGAAAACCAAAGGTTGATGAGTTAAACCAAAAGTGACACCAACACCGAATCCCATTTCATCAAAAGAAAATATAGAAATGATGACAAAGTACAGTTCATACCACAGTACAATCAAATCTGACCTGATGTGGAGACTTGTGAGGCATATGAAACAATCAGAAGGCCGAAAGAAGGCCATTTACAGGATGGTAAAAAAACTTACACCATTTTTCTCATATCTTTGTCATTTTAAGAACTGATATTTTACACATTTGTACATAATTCAATTTCCTACCAGCCCACTATATTTCATGACCATCAGATTGATTACAGCACAATGTTACAGCACTTTAAAGAACATGCCCCAGTGGCCACTATTGTGCTGTCAGCAAACCTGCACATGTAGTCCAAAATGTCTCTACTTGTGGGGAAACGGCAACGATAAAGTGTATGAGAATGACCTCAGGACAATTGCAGACCTCAAAAGTAAGATCATTAGTGTTATTCAGGCCATATCTGCTGAAGAATGTATTTGGATCATTGACAACTGTGCAGGTTTGACAACAGCGTGATAATGCCCAAACCTGAAGCATGTTGTTTAAAGTGCTGTTGTATGATAGTGAATGATGTACAAATGTGTGAAATATGAGAGAGTAATATTTTAAAATGACAAAGATATGAGGAAAATGCAAGGTTTCCATTTTTTGACCACCCTGTACAACAAAGCACAAAAGATTCTATTCAACCATCTCGTGTATAGAATATGACAATGAGTTGGAAATATGCACTTAACAGCAACCCTAGCCTTATTTCCAGGATTGTTGAACTGTATAGTGAATCGAGATGGCAAGTGAAGCATGTTTCTGGCTGATGTTTAAGTCTGTAGAAGATTTTTGTTAAAATCTGTAAAAAAAACAGGTCTATCAGGGAGGTGGTAAAGTCACATTGTCACATCGCCAGCGACTATGCAGAATCTGTTAGAAATCTGTACATTCAACACAAAAACCTCATGAAGAATGCCAACCAAAGCGAGTCGAAAAGGATGAAGATGTGCGCAAGATATGTAGTCTTGTAGGTCCAAATTATAGATGGTTTCTTAGGAATGGTAAAATAAGGCAAATCTTGCTAATTTCTAACAAAATGTGCAAGTCGGGTGTGCAAAATGCGAAAAAAGTGATAAATCAATCATCTTAGCTGGACGTTTTCAAAAAAGGGTGAAGGCTAATGACCATAACAACAACTGGTTCTTACAGTGCAGAGTATACATGGAAGCATGTCTTGATGAGGCAGATACTCTTATGATTTACCATGTAATACAAAGGTCAAAGACAGCTAAGTAAGAATAAGAGAAATTGTTCGATGCAGTGATGCTGATGTGTTGGTCATGTTTTTGTACTACTACCACACAGTTCTTTACATCGTCACATGATATATTCATGCACGGTGGCCATGGGTCAAAGCAGCGCTTCATCAATTCACAGAATATGAGAAAACTTGGTGAAATGTTTTGCAAATCATTATCAGCAGCTCACACCCTTATAGCTGTGACACTACCTGTTCATTTGCTAAAATTGGGGATATATTACACAAAATTAATCAAGAACATCGATCACCTCAGCAATTTATGCAAGCTTAGATCAGATGAGCATCTACAATGTGAGAGCCATGTAGATGACAAGAAGACAATGACATTGGATGACTGATGCTTTATTTTGGCATCCACAACTGACAAGCCTGCATCTGCAATGTTACTAACAAAAGATGCTTTAAACAACATCTTCTACCAGCACATCTCCAATGTCAAATCTGGACAAAGTGCTCACACAGCAAAGCCCAAACTTTGGAAACCAGAAGGCAATGAATGCTACTTTATTGATGGAAGTCTGGTTCCTAAGATGATTTTGAGAGCATCCACCCCCATTGAATTAAGGCATCTTACCCAAATCTATTGTAAAGATGGATTTCACACTAATCAGGCTTGTAGATGCCTACTTGCAGGATTATTGTGCATGTCTATCTGTTCCCGTGAGGTGGGTATTTGCCAAAACACAATGATGGTTGAGGAAAAACCATATCCAGATGTTTAGAATAATGATGTTTGAAATAATCATATCATCATATTATATAATGATTCTATTGAAAGATGTAAGCCCTTATATGTAAAAATTGATATTTATCATGTTTAAAATGATCATAACAGTTACCTGATTTTTATATGCATGAATATTTGGATAAGTATATCTGATTAAATATTTAATGATATTATCATTGTGTCTTAATACACCATTCACGTACTGTTATTTGCTGCTACATATGCATGGCATATATTGTTTACAATGAGATTAAGTCTTTTTATAAAGGTTTGTACTCATAATAAGTTATTATTGCTTGAATTGGTTTAGCACATGGCGTTTATATCATTTAGAACAAAAATTCTGTTATCTTAAAAACGAAAACAATTCAAATTGTAATTTTACTCATAAAACAATGGAAATTATGTAATAATTACATAATTCTAAGTCCAAAGTATTTTTGATAATTATCAAAATTTATTTTAAAGTATATACACAATTAATATTTGTTTAGCTCATGATTTCTTTTCATTATTTCCTTTAAAAATGGTTTACAAAAAATGCTATGTCATAATAATAGATTACATAACATTATGTCATTTTTATCGGATCTGACCCATATTTCAATCTGTCAAAATTGGTTTTTGTAATGTACTCAACAAGACGAACAATTTGATACCCATGACGACTTGTTATACTGGGTGCGGGGGTCAAGTTGATATTTGGCTCATAGGTAGCCTGCACTATTAATGCATATGTAGACAGGGTTTGGACGACAGAGTATACTAAAGTGAATATTAATTTCTTTATAGAAACACAGGTGCACCAAAGCAGACTAATTTGATATGGAATGAGGAAGGTGTGTATCACGTACCATGGGGTCTTCGTGTCTTCATATCAGATTTACTCCGATAAAATAATTGGTATCAAGAGAGCTAGGCACCAATGACGTGTTTAATTCATGACTCTGAAACATGTTTATGTTTTTTACTAATGATTGCTTGGTTGACAGAAGGTATACAATATATTAATAATAATTAGCATTAACACAGCCCAATACCCAAAAAGCAAAGATAAACGTCCTGTCGTCAGTTCAAAGTGTGACAATCGGAGATGTGACCCAAACAATGGTAATGTGTTATATGCTCAGACTAGCTCCTAGGCATTGTTTCCTCCTAAAAAATTCTTGGGAGCCAGGTTCTATATATAGTAAATGGCGGCATTTTGCTTAAAATATGCTTAAAGTACATATATATAACCACTTTAAAGAACTACGTGCACGCACTTATGGATATAATTCCTGACATTCTTTAAGGATACAAAATCAAACATAATGTTTGCTGACTGAGGCATTGAGCACACACCCAACTTCTTAGGCCTGACGAGTATCTAGAATCTAAGTGTAAAGCTTACAATCATATTTGATTCATTGCAGTATTTCTTATATTGAACTGAAAAACTCAATTTTCAAGTTGCTGAGCGCGAGACTGAAATCAAGTCACACCATATTAATTGCATTTGAATTAGTTTCATCATTGGAATTGAACTTCAAAATAAATTAAAAACACCATATTTCTAAAAATTAAATCAATCTGTACAACAGCACCTTGCTTGACTGGAAACAGCTGTGGTACACTTGCTATTGATCAGCTCACTATTAATCCATAATTCTAGTGATAACAAACATGGTAAATTGCTTATTTAGTTCATTGTCATCACTACTTGCACTTTCTGACACGGATTCTGAATCATTATATTGAAACAGGATAAAATCCCTTTCAATTCCAAAAGCAATGTATCCTATATCAGCGTCGACTTCCCCGTCCCCTCAAAAAGCCACACCCTAGTTCTTCCCTTTTAAACATACATCTCTCATTTAGAGTAGAAATAGGCAAACGTAACAATATCGATCATTTCGGTAAATGAAAAATCAAACCCATTATCTCTTATAAATTTTATATACATTTTACTATGTTATCTAAAATTGTCAAACATTTGTCAATGACTTACCGTTTAACTGTTCTATCTTCGGTGTCTCGATGGTTAATGCTCAAAAGTACGAAGTTATTGTTATACAGTTTATGTCCATTGGCAAAATATTATTTTTCTAATATGTCCTTTTTAACGTTTACTGGTAATAATATTCCGAAGGTATGTCTTTCATTGAATCTTTTTATATATCCTGATATGTGTCCTGACTGTAGCCGATAATATCTCCATACAGTTTGAATTTCAACATATAATTGATTTCTCAGTCCACTTTCATTCGTATATAAACCCTTTTCAGTCTTTTAGGAAGTTCAACAATTTTTGATGAATGACTACTGAAGAATGTTTACCTTTTATTATAAGCTATTCAGTTTGTGTATAATAGGATTTTTCAATTCATATTCATGTTTTTGTTAGATCCCACCCACTTTCCTTATATGGCAATATCCGTTTAATTTGCATGATAAAAACAGCAATCTGACGGTTAAAACATGATCAGATAAACAGAAATCTCTCGAATAAAAATATTTCGTCAATGTTTTTCGCGATATGTTTAGCCGCCGAATCAATATTAGAATGTGGATGTCTATGTGACCCTTTTGCGTGAATAACATGATCTCGGATCGTCAGGGGATGATGATATATGGTTTATAGAAAGAAGTACAAATCCCCAGACACAAGGCATATCAAACCAGCTTATTACAAGTATAACACGTAATATATCGAAAGCTAGTAAATCCGCTAAAAGAACTTTTCCGAACACGTATGAAACCGAACTAGAAAATGGACTTTTGCATGGGAATTGTTGAGATAAATCTTAATCAAAAATTGATTCATTGAGATGTCTCCGGTAAATTCTGTATCGATGAATCACTGTGTCTTGAAAATATACCTGTGATTAATGTTGTCATGGCAACCCGTGCTATAAGTTCATATCGTGATGAGTATCTAAATTGTCTCGTCTTTCCAATTTCTTAATTGGCTGGGATAACATTCCCACATCATGAGATATCATGGCCTTCTATTAGCTTCACACTACATATTTCTGGTTGAAGACAGAAAAGGAGATGTGATGAGTATCAGAATGACATTCACATACAGTGAGTTGGAGTTGAGACCAGCATAAAATATATATATTAATTTATGTTAGTCTCAGGTTAGAGTAATGTATCCTTTGGCGATATACATACTTGTTAGGCAATTAGATTATGAGGTTTTGAATTACTTAATTGGCAATAATGCCCGAATGCAATGAGTCTGTTATGCTTTGAAATGTCGACTATGGGATTATCATTCACATTGAATCACATGATTAACATGTGAAACATTCTTTAAATTTTGAAGTTCGATAACATTAATTCACCAAATGACTTTGAGCTGGTATATTCATTTAATGATGCTACAATACAAGCATTAATACAAAATTTGAGCCAAAAGAAAGATCCCGTGGTCATGTTGTAAATGTTGCCAAATCAGCCACTGCAGCTGGGTGGATATACAGTATATTACATTTATATATTTTATTAAAATGTCACCTATTGTACAAAATAGCCAGCCCAAACTGAGCTCATGAGATACATTAAACATTTAATTATTAATCTTATATGTGTGATTCGTTTTTATATTAAAAATGCAGTTCAAATAGTTTGCAGATTTTTTAACAATACTTATACAATACAAAATTTATAAATGATTCAATATTTGGTGTTAAAACAAGTCTCTCTGTTTCACAGGCCTTACATTCAAATAAAAAATGTTTCTCATCTTCAACTTTGTTTAATTTGCAAACATGGCACAGTCTGTCTTGTATTGGTGTTTTTCTTGGTTGTGAGTATCTCCCAGTCTCTATTGCTAGTGGTAGGATGCCACTCCTCAGTTGTGCTATCAGTGAACGTTGTGACAATGTTAGTTGACACAAATTTCAGTTGTTTCACTTTTGAAAGTGATATGTGCGCAATTTACAGATTTATCTTGTGAAGTAATATTTCTTTTCCAGTTTTCTGTGTGGTTTGATAAAATTCTTGATTTAGCTGTAGCCAATCTGATTGTTTCCATTTTAGAATGTTTTGGGCTCATATCATTCCTCTTAATGTCTTTTTCTAAAAATGCTCAAAGTGCACAGTTTATTTGACGAAAACTGAAGATTTTTACAATAATGCATTCAATTGTTTGTAAATATCAATTGTTTGCTAGATCAATCATGCATATTGTTTGCAATTTTGTCACCCCTATAGATCTGATTCTGCTTATTTTCCAATACAATCAATTTTGCTAAGCTAAAATGTTGAAGTATCTATTCAATTCTCCAAAACCCCATTAAGATCGCACCTCCACGCATTTTTCAAAATATAAAACGACCACGTTACAGTTTTAATTTATTACATCAATAGATTTGGGTACTGTATGCAACAAGTAGATCGGTATTGAGTCTTATTTGGAAGATATAAATTTCGGTCACTAAACTTAAGCTGAAAACAATGGATAACATGGGAAAATAACATCATGGGATGTGTCGTCTCCCCCTCCCCTTTCAAAAACTGAAAAGTAAAATTCATAAGGTTAGGTCTTTTTCGAATTAATATCTTTATTTTAAAACATCTACAACAGTACAAGTTGACCTTGGGTTTAAGAGATGACCTTTTGACACTTGATTTTAGATTTGACCTATATTTGACCTTCAAATGGTCATATACATCATAAGATTACCTTCAATCTTGATGTTTAGTTAATAACTGGATACAAATAGAGAGACATATAACATAGATAACATAACATAAAATAACATAAAAACGTGTAACTTAACCTCCGCATTACAGTATTCTTTCAAAGCATTTTTCTTACTTTACAGCTAGATTAAGGTAATGATTAAGTCTTATATCTCGGTCAAATGTCAAAATCGAGGTCAAACAAAGTTCGACACTATACTTCAATATTTTTGTTTGAAAGGTCCACATAAATATTAGTATGCTCTTTGTGTCAGCTTTTTACTGCATAGTTTAGAGTTGCACATAAGATTCTGATCGAAATATAGGCCTATGCCTGAGATGCTATTAATGAAGTATGGATTTTCAATAAAATAAAAGACTATGAAAATGAGCACACAATGACATCATACAACATACACACATATAATAGTGACCAATAGCCCCATTCCAAAGGGCTGAAATGAGGTTATTAGTTGAGAACTTAGTACAAACTCATTATTCACCCTATGGCTTGGCACTATGGCTCCATCTATTGAAATCAAGTCAAGTCAAATGTACATGTAAGCCTTCTAAACTAGTACTGACACCCTGAGAACAGGAGTCGCAAGATGGTAATAATAGAAATACATTTGGAACAAAATATTACATAATACACTGTGCAGAAAACAAGTAATGTATGGATTCTGAAACAAATGCAGTCAATACTTTATGGTTAAACAAAAGAAATACCCTGTGGAAAACTGCTAAGACTAGTAAAAGGTTGACAGGAATCAACACTTGCAGTTCTACAATAAAATTAAAAATCCATTTGCAGTTCTGAAAAAATCAAGAAAACTTGGATATTTCAAATTCACCCCTGTCCAGATATTTTGGTGCAGGGTAACACAAAAAGTAGCCCATGGATTATTTTGATTAATTTCTTATCCCAATTAAATCTGTGTGTAACAAAATTAAAACACTATAAAAAGTGTATTTCCATAATGCTATCCATTAGAAATCTCATGAATATTGCAAAGAACTTCTTAAATTGATCATCACTATTCCAATATTAACATCAACGACATGATATGACATCAAATAATTTAGCCTTCTTTGTCACACACAGAGTGTACAGGGTGTCAAATAAATATGTCATCCCCCTTAATTTCAAGAGAATGAACTTTTGTGCACAAAAGTGCATCTAGTTGAGCTAGTCATCTGAGACTTCTTGTGGAGTTGCTCTGTGAACCTAGTTTTGATGTGCTAAAGAACAATTCAGATATGTAGACAAAAAGGTTATGCAACATTATGTGGATGTTGAAGATAAGGAGGGGAGGACATATTTATTTGACACCCTGTAGATAAAGATTATAAGTGCAGAACTTATAAGAGATCAAGAGGCCTACATTTTAGGGTTACACTGTTTAATTATATGTTTACACACTGTAGTTCTAGTTTTCATAACAGTTCAATGACATATTTCTCATATGTAGAAACATATCAAGGAGGATTGCTCCCAGGATCGACACTCGATATCTTCCAACAATGAAAACGTCGAAATGTCGTTATTTTCAACCGACTATAAATTCAAAATAAACAGTCCAAAAGATTCGAACCAATATCTCAATCATTTCTTGTGAGTTTTGGAATTTTTTGTTAGAAAATAAGACCAAAATTCACGATTCAAATGTTTAAGTGAACAAAATGGTGGCTGTTTGAATTCGAATTTTGTATCACGACATGCCTATTTATGGGACAGAATATCGATGTTGCACTCTGGGAGCCAATCCTCCTTGAGTACATATCATTAGTGGTGGGACTCGTGTGAATTATCCTACTCGAGTAGAGGCTCTTGAACACTCGATTTATTCGCGATTAAAATGAATGATTTTGGAAAAAAGTTCAGAAAAACTTTCTTCGGAAAGTTACAAACTTTCACTTCCGGTAGCAATGTTTTCAAGTGTTCTCGGCTCAACCTACCTTGAATAACTCCAACATACCCATCAAATTATTCAAATAGAATAACTCAATACACTTTATATGTTCTTGTTTTGCATTGAAAAGTAAATAATTTAGCTTACTTCGGTCCAAAGCCTTCTCTATATTCCGGCTTTGAGGAGGAAGATTGAGCTGCCTTAGTATTATAAATATTGTAAATCATTGTGTCACACGCACAGTAAATATGGCATAATAATATGAAATATACCTTTATGTATAGATTTGAAGAACATCAGCTCACATCCCCGTCTGAATCTATTGTTATATTTGATTTCTTTAAGCGAGAATAATTTCAAATGTTATTCACGTCCAGAACCGGAAGCCATTTTTAGCTACAGCGAGAAAATTTCACCATGTGTCAAAACTCCGAAATGAAATTTTGAAATATCTAAATCCAGACAAACAACGCTTCATCCTAAATATGATTAATATTCTTAAAAATATTTATAAAATTTATTAAAAATGAGTTCTAGGTGCGTGTAGCACATTACATACGAAATCAATGAAGTTTCGTCTAGCTGTAAGCTAGAGACTCGAGTAAAATTTAGCAATTTACGCTAATTGGTTTGACCTCGTTAAATATTGCATTGCACATGCGCAACCGGATGTAATCAATAAATAAAAACAAACACGAGAAAGCCTATCGTATTTGATTTATTATTTCAGTTAAGGTATCAAACTACAATGCTATATATTAAGGAAGGCATCATTGTTAAACATTGTACAGAAATGTTGTACATTGGATGTGTTTTTTTACGTAAATTGCGGTTGAAAGGTGGGTAAATCACATTTTCTTCATCATTTTTTTCATTTTTTTTTCAATTCGAGTCAGAATTTACCAATCGATGAATCGTATTTACAGGGTTTGGCGAGTAGTATTCGAGTCCACGAGTCAATCGTTGCTCCACTACATATCATGATTGACTTTGCAACTGTGAGAAATAATGTTTCAATCTAGCCAGCTCCTTGTTAGCTCAATAAATATTGACAAGACTGGAATAGTCTTGTATTTTGAGTGATTTGGAGTGACAGCATGCCTTGACCAATGTTTCCTATATTGACCACGCTACCTACACATGAAAATTCATCAAGATTCCATGAAAATCAGGATAATTATTCCCTGAAAATAGGTTTGTATTCTTTTATGTCATCCTCTATCTGATTTATACTTAAAAAGAGAGACTCCTTATTGATCATATATTCTCTAAAGTTCAGCTAGCACATAATGTGAACGTATAATGTTATCCACTGACACATCCATTGTAAAGCCATGTAAAAGCAAAGTTGCTTTGTATAATAATCACAGTCTGTCTTAATATTATCATTCACTTGCAGCATCACTGCTACATCAGTGTCATGTTAATAATAATTAATCATTAATCTTCCAAAATCAGGACTGTGATCCTGATCCTATACTGTATGCAATTTAATGTTGACTTTGAAACTTAGTAAGTACATGTATGGACTGATTCAATTCTCTCACAAGTCCAAAGAGTAAGCCACAACTGTTACAAAAAGGATACCTGGTCGCTGGTCTCCTGAGATAGTTGCATTACAATAAACATCTATATTACATGTCCTTCAAGTCTTCATAACGTGTTCTTTTTGGTGGTTCGATTCCAATTGAAGGCAAAGTTGAAGGAATGAATGGTGAAATCCATGCGATGTACCAATGATCTCCAAATACCTCAATTATGTTCTTCTTCCAGCCCAAGTCAAAGTCTCGTATATTTTTGGCTTTCTCGTACACCGTTTGTCCATTGAGTATTAACATAAGGTGGTAGGTGCATAAAACTAGTAATAAGGCACAGCCCACAACACAGAGCGCAGACATGAATGCAACACTGAATGTGAATGATTCCGCATACCCAAGCAACCAGGTAAGCATTGGTAATAGCATTGTGAAGACAGACTTAAAGGAAATACCTCCAATAATATGCCAAGTGTAGTCAAAGTTCATAATGTTACAATAGATAGCGCCAATACATAACGTAATTAGGAAGTTCATGTAGTAACGCTTATTGGAATGTCCAACACAACTGTCTGTGAAGAGGCAGTGGTGGTCCCTTGTGAGCACACATGTATCACATTCACTGCAGTGCATAGATCTTGGTGGTGCATTGTGTTCACAAACATAACAGAAGCGCCAGCCAGGCTTCAAAACACTTGGTAACATGTGACCCCTACATGTGATTTCAACTGTCATCATTTTCCAGATGCTTCCGACACAATTTATGAAGAGGGCAGTTCCACAAAATATATGTACATAAGCCCATGTTGACGATAACCCCGGATGCACAGTAGGCAGAACGACTAACAGTTCATAAAAATATATTGTTGGTAAAATTCCAACCAGAAATGCAGAGGCCACAATTCCAGACCGAGACTTCGGGAAAATGTGCTTCAGCTTCATTGTCCTTGCTGAAAAATTGTCCATACAAAGATGTTTCTCGGCTTGTTCGTAATTTGCTCCTAAATGCAGAAGAATGGTCTAATTACGAGAAATATAACATTATACAGATCTAAGTTTTCGAAAGATTCCTGACCTTGGAACACCTTCTCTATAATTCACTTGAAATTATGTATTTAACCATCACATAAAAGAACCAGATATTTTGTAAGATTAAAAAAGTTACAACTTATCTCGTTATAGCATCATTAATACATATTTTTAGGTCCATTGTGTTGATTTTGTACAAAAGAATAATGGGAATGTGTATTTCGCTATAGCGACTCAACTGTTCTCGCTTTACTTGGGTCATGAAGAGGGAGGATTAATCCCGGGGTTCAAAAGCCCATTTAAACATGTTAAAAGAGACATATGTCTATCAAATCTGTATTGAGGAGACACCGTCGCTGATTGGTCAAATCGTCAAATAAATGAAGTCATTCAATGGCGGTTTCAAGATTTTCTTGACACACTTCGAATAACATTATGTTAAGATTAATTTTGGCGTGTAATCAATATCATAGCTTGTAAGATATAGCACGGAAGAAAAAGCCTGGAATCACGCTAACAACGCTAACAACGATTAAAACATCACAACGACGTGTTGCATTCGTAAAGTAGCCGGTGAAAATTCTGACAAACGAAGGTGGTAAGCAAAAGACAGAATTACATGTATAATGTCTGTCACCTCATACCTAAAGCTAGAGTTTTCCCTCCTCTTGGTTATATGCTAAACTACAGAAGGCTCTCCAAGAGGGGACAGTGAGGTTGCTTAATTTGTCAATATTTTGTCTGATTTATTCCTTTTTAGTTAATTCTTAGGAGTATTCCTTTTAGATAAAGTAGAAAACAATATTTTCCCGATAGTTTTTTTATACATAAAGGATGAGTGGCTTTAAGACCCAATATTATCCCCCAAGATATTTAGAAAAAAGTTGTAGAGGATATCAAAGAAGAGACTTTGTTTGATAACCAGATCCCAAAATTAGGTCATTCTGACATTTATATTTCAAAATATAGGTCATTCTATTAAGTTAAACGTGTATAAAATGACCTTTTCAAGGAAAAATCACTTTTTCACATCATTATTGTCAAAGTAATCATTATTTTCAGTCATTTAAGACTTTTTAATTGATCCTGTTGCTATTATCTTACATAAAAGTGACTATAACAAGTCAAAAATACAAACTTTGGCAAAATATAGAATAGTGATCTTCTTTATACTTCATTTAGAACAATTGTCTACAAAAAAAGTTTGCGAAACTATGCCAGAAAAGAATATTGAGTTTTTTTTAAAATTTACATCACAATGAGAAAGACCAAGGGGCAACATTTAAAAACACATGAAGTAATTAAGAAGTCAAAAATGAATATCAATCAATAATATATTGATCTGCTTCCTTGAGATCATTTGCAAATATGCAGTTTGTGGCAGTAAAATACTGAATTTATTATTTCACATCACAGTGAGGAAGCAAAAAGAGCAACATTTGAAAACACATGGACTTTACATAACTGTTGATGAGCACATTCATGTGTTTGTTCATTAGAATAAGAGATTCTCTGAGCTATCATCATCTTCTTCAGATGACAACATTTCATACATATCTTTTGATTTTAAAATGTCAAACTTCGTGCATTTCTTTTTGCTTTTATACCGCTTGTGCCTTACAACCCTACTCCCAACAAGGCATGTACAACACCATCCAGTGATTGCATCAATACTATTACATACATCTGGATCTGGGTTATACTCCACCCATGTATAATGAGATTTAGAGGACGCAAACCGATTACTGGACTTTTACACAAATTAGGCCATATGTATCTTTTTTAACAATGATGGTTTATTTCCCATCTACTTGAAGATGGTCATCTGTGCACCGTTTAAATTGGTTGGCTTGATCTCAAGAGAGTCTAATATGATTTAGATGTAACCCTCTTGGCTCCATACAGGGGGTACTGGGAGATTGCAGTTCACTCATGCAGTTCCCTTTGCTTTTGGGCATTTTATTAGCAAATGTTTTTTCCGCCTACTGATTGTGACTTACAGTATATTTCTTCTGTACGATAAAGTTGAGCTATATTTCTAAATATGAACATTGGTATGATCAGCCAGTGAACTGTGATAATATAAAAAGATTATTCATACGCAAAACATCAAGATAAAATGATTGTACAGCAAATTAAAAATCATCTCATATGAATGTATTGAAAGGAATTGCATGTTATTATGTTGCTTAGAGCCATGGTGAAGATATATGCTTCTCAAGAGGTCATGCTCCAGTGCAAGCATACATATTAGTTCATGAAAAGATCATATGAATAAAGAAAATATACTCAAATATATAAAACACAACTGTCACAATCATTCTAAGGATTTTCAAAATGGCTGACATCATTTTATTTCATGCTGAAAATTGCAGAAATGTTCCATTTTTGCACAACATTTGGTCCTTACCTAGATTTTTACATATCTCAAGAAGTACCTGAAGTACACTTTTCCCCCAATACATATAATTTTCGAGGTAAGAACCAAGTGTTATATGAACAAGATTTTGGAGCTAAAGCATGTATGGCATACATCATTTTTTCTTCAGAAAGCATTATACTGTGCATCGAAATCAAATTTGCCAGCATAGTACTCAATAGACATGAGTAGAATGATTCCCGTTGACACCAACGTGAAATAGCATATCTCCCGTTCTAAATACGAAACTAAATCTGATCGAGTGTCTGAAGTAGACCACTTAGCGCTTGTTTTGTACGCATGCTACATACTTTACTGTTTCGATTCATTGGCTTTGAGTTCACGATTACGTTGTGAAAAATATCGCTAGCTTAAACTCTCTAATAAGGTTCTAATCGCAAGGTCGTTTGACGACTACGTATGAATTGCATGATTTCTTATGGACGGTTACGTATTTGATTAGTTGATTGTACATTTGATATTTAGTGGACACTTACGTGCATGTACACCTGTCAAGTCAAGGTTGCTAGTTCTGGAAGCTTCTTTCCATGTTATTGTTATAATGGGTAAAAATTGGAATATTGAATTGCCTATATTTGTTTTCAGGACTCAAATCAAATCCGGTTGAAAAATATCTAGCAACATTTCAATTTTGGTTCACAGGCGATATATGAAATGAATCGGGGTTTCATATTTGAACGAGGATCGCGTAACCGTCCATCAATTTTTGCGTTGCCGCAAATTTAAAATACATTATTATGGCTTGAGTAGAACATATTAGGGGGTTTCCAATGCTTAATTATCCCATCGAACGAAGTTCGGAGGGATATAGGGAACGCCTCCGTCCGTCCGTCCGGGCAATAACTCAAATACCGTTGGCCTGATTTTGTTCATATTTTGTACACATTTACCCTATGGGGGTAGAAGTTCTGCTCGAAAGCTGATTTTCAAAATGGCTGCTCATTTAAAAATGGCGGCCATTTTAGTGCCGATTTTACAGTAATTTAGGTGCAATATGTAAAACTGTAATAGCAATATGTTTTAAGTGTAAAAAATTACATAGGACATCAATAAAGCTAGAAATGTAGATATTAATGAAGCACATGGCAGCCATCTTGAAAAATGGCGGCCTTTACTCGTTATTTTACGATTTTGCTGTAACTCAAGAAGTAGTGGAGCGATTTTGTTCATATTTGGGATGTGCATACTATAAGCATGGCTAACTGCCTAATGACGCTTTTGGTAGGAGGCGGCCATTTTGAAAAATGGCCGCCATTTTAACATATTTTATTATAACTCAAAAGTAGTGGAGCGATTTTGTTCATATTTGGTTTGTGAATACTATGAGCATGCCACACTGTCTAATGACACTTTTGGTAGAAGGCGGCCATTTTGAAAAATGGCCGCCATTTTAACATATTTTACTATAACTCGAAAAGTAGTGGAGCGATTTTGTTCATATTTGGTATGTGAATAATATAAGCATGGCACACTGTCTAATGACACTTTTGGTAGAAGGTGGCCATTTTGAAAAATGGCACTTTTGGTAGTAGGCGGCCATTTTAAAGTATTTTACTATAACTCGAAAAGTAGTGGAGCGATTTTGTTCATATTTGGTATGTAAATACTATAAAAAAAGCATATTACTTCTTCTGGTGACAACTTGGCTAGTGAGCAACCATTTCGAAAATGGTGGCCTTTCTTATGTGTGTTATGTTTGCTATATATTTTGTTTGTAAAAATGCCAGCCATTTCTGTTCGATGGGATTCGCTACGCTTTAGCGTTGCCGTTGTTCTTGTTGGCTTTGTATGATCGTATGCAGGAACATTTATATATACCAAGGTTGTATTAGGCAATGTAGACCATGCCCTAACGAGGGAAATAAACAAATTACTTTTTATGTAGTTTTGAATTTCAAACAGTTTTTAGCTTATTTCATGTTATCCCCGGAAATCAATTCGCAAAGACTACGGTCAAAATATACATTACTGAATGCATCACTGAATGCGACGCTTACATAAATCGTGCATGCTTTCATTGATACACAGTAGTCGAAAATAATGCACCAACCTTGGCTATCTTTTCCATCGTGGCCATTTTATTGGATAAATCAAGGGAAAGATCAATACCCGGTGATTTCAGCGGGAAGTTGCGTTTCGTTCAGTGGATGAGCTGCGCGCGCACGCATAAATGTGATTATCCAATATATTTAGGGGAGGGCTATTTGAAATAGTTTTTGGTCTCAGGCGCGACCAAGGGCTGTTGTCTTAAGGACATTTCGTTGAAAATGATCCATTCGGCTGATAATTGGTAAGAGTTTGCGATCTTATAATGTATAACTGTTACTCAGACACATATTTTGACACGATTCTGTTGGAAATAAGCTTTGAACCGAGAGATATTCACGATTGATATGCACATTTTTGATTGTGCCATTGCTTTTCCATTGCACAATCCATGTATTGATAGAAGTAACATTAATAATGCAGATTGGTTTACCTTCAATACATGGCAGACACTACATATCGGTCTATTAAATACCAGTTTGTGCCTTGAATAGTTTATATTTCTATCCACGGCCTGGAGCCTGGGTGTGTTTGTCTCTTATGTGTATGCTTGTGCATGGACTTCTAATCACTAGCAGAATTTAACATGATGCAAACTCGTCATTATAACTCATGTTGTAACATTTTGACTTCGCTGGAAAACAATAGGAATTATTTTTCTTGCCAATCAATCATGAATCACAA